TCAATTGTCAAATCCACTGGGTCGCTTAAGCCATTGGTATCCAGCACTACTGAGAGAATGAACTCTTGGATATCAAAGTATCTCTATTCTGCTGGAAGATTAAATTAATTTCCTCTATTATTCAAAGGATCACAACATTCTAACACTCTACTTTTATCCTACCTAAAAATGTAATCAAGGAGGTTGAAAAACTTTGTAGTACTTTCTTATGGAACGACCCCACAGAAAGTGCAGAGTGCTGTAAGGTTAGCGGGCAATCTGTGCGCTTGCCTAAACAGGAGGGTGGCTTGGGATTAAAAGCCTCAATCACTGGAATATGGCATGTGGGTTAAGCTTCATTTAGATGATCTTCCTCCATTTGGGTTGCATGGGTAAAAGAATACTCGCTAAGAGAGGAGTTTTTGCTATATCAACATCCTTTCTAATTCATCTTGAGGATGAAGGAAAATACCAGCAATATGATTGGATTGAGGGGAATGGAGCTGAATAAGAAGAAAAATTTTTCTATTTGATTATAAACAAATTGGAGGCGAAGGGAGGGGCAAGGAAAGGAGGGAAATAGAAATATATAATTTTCCTCTCTTTCTCTCCCCTCCTCTTTATTCCCCTCAACCTAAATATAAGGCAAAAATAAGAAACTCTATAAATAAGAAATTATGCTAGGGCTAGGTTTAATACAGCATGTACTTGGCAATGTCATCAATACTTTTCTTTGGTACCCTATACCACTATTAATCACAACATATGAGGTTAAGATTGTACTTGACTTAGGTTGATTTGTCAAAGTTTTTGAAATGATGAATGACAATTTTTGGAACTAGCCCTTACTTGCTTTTCACATATTAAAATAGCCCTCTGTGACACTCTATATTTAAAGAATGAGGAAAAAGATTTAGTTATTTAGACAACCTCTACCTTTAGGGTATTTAAAACAAGTAGTATATGGCATTCCTTACGTGTAAAGTAGGTGAAGGTACCATGGTATAGATTAATATGGTTTTCCATATAATCCCTAAGCATAGTTTCATTTACTAGCTAGTACTCTTGAATTGGTGATCAACAAGAAGTAGACAGAGGAAATGGACTTTTAGTATTGCCTCCCTCTATATGTAATGGTTATTATGAATCAAAATTATTGTGAATGTTTCACCTTCATCATCTTTCTCCTCCCTACTTTCCCTTGCCAATACACACCAAGTAATGGTGATTAACTCCTCACTTCCTAATGTAAAAGTAGTGATTAACATCCACTTTCCAATGCAATTGCACTGGTGATAAAACTTTTCTTGTAACCCTTCTATTAGTGGGTGATTAGTCCTTGTAACCTCCTATTTAGTGGGCGTATAATTCTTGTAACTTCTACCACCCACTTAACCTCCATATAGGACTTGTATTCTTACAAATGGAGTGGTAAAGAAAATAATAGAAATATTAAATTTCTTTGTATTGCCTTTATATGTCTCTCTAATTCCTTCTTTTTCTACATGTTTCTTTCTTATTTTAC